CCATGTATTTGACAACATATATTTAATTAAATAAACCAAAAAAATAAGATAATTTATTTATATTTAATGTATATTTAAATTATTTAAAGTATTTTCACTTACCGAGTCAGCTAAAATATACTCTGCTACAATTCCACTATTTTCCGTTTTACACGTTTTATCAATTCATGTTGCAATTAAACTCATCGAATAACGAAAAGAATGCATAGTTCTAACTTGAAATACAAAATGTTTCACGGAATTATCTATTGACAATTAATTTTTTTAGCCTAAGATCAATAGATCGAACGCACACGAAACACTAGCGATAAGGCACAGCAAACTTATTGGTACGATTGAATGATAAAAAAACGGAAGAAGATAGATTGCGGCTGATTGCGCGTCTGTCACATGAATGGCAATAGTTTCATTTCGAATTCGCGGCTTTGTGAACCGCCGCGGCTCTTGGTCTTAGCGCGACTGTCTCGCCCCATTCTCTTCTGGCGGCTCGCGAGTCCCGCTGGTTCCCTTATTGCTCTTAAGCCATGTACATGCGGTACCCGCTTCCGGTACAGATGTGTGCGCAGACGAAGGTCGAGATTTGAAACGGCCGATGTCCCTCCGAAGCTCAGGAACGTGCCGTCTTCGCGTCGGGATATAATTGGAATGGACGTACGCGCCGCGACGCGATGGGCAATCGCGATGTAACCAATGTTTCCTAGAAACGCGGAAATTTTGCCAAATGCATCGATTGAATCGCGATAGTAGACAATTTTATAAGTAATTATATTGAATCATTTTTAATAAATGCTATATAAAGTTAATGGACTCAATTAGTAGATGAAATGACAAAAAATTTTAAATATTAAGCTTTTAAATGACATGTACAGTAAATATAAAACCTTTCTTATTAATTTTTTATAAACAACAAATTTATTTAGAGTCGCACGTATTATTAAGAGCTTACTATTTAAATCTGAATCAGTGCCACTCGATAATCTCAGTGATTATCCATTCATTTAGATGTAGAGAGTAATATTTAAAATTTTTATCATTTGTCCGGTAGTTGAGTCAAATCCACTGACTATTTACTAACATTTATCTTATACAATGTTTTTGTAAGTATATATTAGTTGTTTTCTTGTGAGAATTTATAACGAATAAAAATTTAAAATTAAATGCAAAGATTTATCTAAATTTGTAAAATACTAAACATTACATTTTTTGAACGCAAGATTTTCTATTTAATAATAAAATTATTAGATATATGGTATGTGTGCATGGATGCACGAAATGAATAGTGCAATATATAACTTTATAGATATTTATATTTTATTAGGTGTTAATAGAAAATTAGAAATGAAGAAAAGAAGAAACATAAATTTACTCCTAAAAAAGATATGTCAATAAAAATAAATAAATGTTGTTCCTATGTAAAAATTAATAATAAAATACAGAAAATCATCAAATAATAATTTACTATAATTTTAAAATTATTTTCATATTACATTAAGATGAAGACGTAGATCTCTGCGTTTATCGACAGCTTTGTACTTTACTACTGCAGGTACTTTGTTCGTTTAGAGGAGCCACGTGTTGGTAGATTCGAAAATTTCTTCCTTTTCGACTTCGTCAATTTATTCTCGGTGTCGTTTTGATGCCTCTGGGCAACCACCAAAAAACCAGTTTACAACTCGCAATAAGACTGGTTTAACCCGATCTGAATAACGATTCAATTAATTTCAGAATTTTTCCAACTTTAAATTACATTTACTTGCTGTAATAATTATTATAATTGATCATATATTTTTTAAATAAACATTTCCAATAAACTGTTGCATTTTAACGTTGTAATTAAACATATTATTTATGGGAAAGTTATCATCTGGGAAAAATTATCATCTGAATACAAGATTAAAAGTATAATAATCTTCATAAAAATATATATTACGATTAATTGTTTTTAAAAATGATAAAAATACTAAAAAATATAATTAAATTTATATCAAAGTATTCTATATTAAGTATTCCTCGTGCGATAATTTTTTTCAAAATAGATTATTTTATTTTCAATTGGATTTTACTATTGGATTTATTGAATCCTACATCACGTACCATTTGTAATCGATGAATTTTCATAACAATCATGAGTAAAACTTTTTGCATCATGAGGAAATCGATAGTTTTTTTTTTTAAGTCCATCATGTCGCTTTGTGAATAGTTTTCCTGTATCTAATAAATTGATAATTTATTTTTATTTAATAATACACGAGTATGAAATGGTATACTAATATAAATTACCATAACGAAAATCCATTTGCTTGTTTGTGCTCATTGTCACGCAATCTTTATTTGACTGACATCGAGAAAGAACTGCAACTTCTTCGTGTTTCTGAAAAACATGATAGCTTGTACATAATAAAATTTATATTATAAAATATGGAATGCTATTTAAAGAATAATTACAATATGATAATTAATTCAGAAATAATAATAATATTATATTTATTACATTATATTACAATATAATATAATAATTACGCGCATGTACACATACCATACAATCAAAATTTTGTTTAGTCTGCATTTTTTTATTAGTATCGATGTTGCTTATGTTCTCCTGTTTTTGAGATGTTTTGAATTTCCTAAAACATTATAATAGCATCTCGAAAAATTGTGTTTTTTGCTATAAAATTCTTATTTGCTTTCCTGCAGCTATCACCAATATTTGTTATAATTTTTTAAAAAATGAACATAATTTCTCAAATTAAATTTCATCGGAAAGTTTTCACTATTAATACATTATTACTAATATAACTATTCTTGATAATCATTACTTTCGCACATCAGTTTATACTTGGTATCATTCTTATCAATTTCTGAAATCGTGTTGGAATCTGTCTTCTTATTTAAAGAATTTTCTTGCTGCGAATCAATATTATTTTTTAATTTATCCGCCGACGTTGTGCACGTTGTTTTCAGAATAGTATCCTGTAGGACTACATTGTTTTTTTTGCATTTCTCATCGATTATTGTTATCTGCTGTGGCTTGTTACTATAAGTATTGATATACATATTTTTATTAAGTATATATTCTATAATAATAATTATATTGCTGCATGAATTCTTGTATAAAGATATAGCTATTCCTAATATAAAAGATACATTCTATTAAATGCTTGATCATTTGCATTCTTCATATATTAACTAAATGATATTTTAAAGATAAGGACGTAAAAGGTCAAATGAGTGATATGATGTGTCTTCTTTATCGAAAATATGTAATTTTCGATGTATTAAGTTTCATTTCATCAATAGTCTGACAGTGATGTAATTATGTAAGTTGATATGATAATTCTATTTCATATGACATATACATACGCGGTTATCATTGCATTGGATTCCGACAACATATCATTAATCGCATTTTGATGATGACATTTATGTCGATGATGTTCATGTTTTCCATCGATAGTGTGCTTTGCGCGAAATTTCTTACTTTTGTATTTTCTATATATGAAATTCTTATATATTATTTATTAGAACATTAATATTTGTATAGTAAAATATTAAATATGAAGTCATATCTTTTATATAGATCATACTTTCATAAATTATTATTAGCTGATTTATCTTCATAAATAGAAAGACTAAGCAAAAATATAACTGACTTTATTGATTTATGATTATCGTTATCCAAATTCGTTTTGTTAATGTATTTTTGACTATTTCTTGTATCTTTTTCGTATATTTTTCTGTATAGTTCTTGTATTCTTAGTTCTTTAGTTTTATTTTCATATCTTGCTTTTATCTTTTCATATTTAATTTCATCTGTATTTAAGGCAAACTTTAATCCATTTGCAACAGTATCTATCAAGATGCAACACACTCTTCGAGCATCTAAAAAAGCATAAAATGTAATATAATTTATTTATAACATAATTTATAACATAATTTATTTATACATTATAAGAATTTATGTCAGGTTGTTGAATTTAATACACTTCATTTTATTTTTTTCTCTTTGTGGTTTAATAAATAAGTAAAGCTCAACAGAAATATAAATCTGAAAGTCCTAAAAAATTTTTCTTTTTAGCTTAATTAAAATAGAATATATTGAAATCTTGAATGGATTACTGTAACTAAAAATACAAATCTGTAATATTTTAACGATAAATTGTGGAAGTTTATGGTTAGAAAAATGTTCTTGTAATGTGATTACATAAAATCGTAATTATGTTCGAAAGTCAATCAAAAATTATAAACGATGATAAAAATTACAAACGGTGATAAAAGTTCTTTCTTTCTCTCTCTTTCTTTTTTCTTCTTTTTTTCTCCTTTCACTTGACGTTTTTTTCTTTTCCTACTTACATGAACGTGACTTGGGCACGTAATACAAAACGATGCCACACAACATTAACGCGATTAACGAGAGTCGCTTCAGGTAGGTGATCCACTCAAGCACGCAGAATTTCTCGTCGAAATAACCTGATGAATAAAGAAGGAAGTCACTTGAATGACGAGAGAAGATCACTTTCTCTTACCATATTCATTTTGCGATTTGGCGTACACGCATTGCGTAGCAAACGCGACGGTGAGGACTATAAATTTCATGATAAAAATTAGATGCATTTGTTTAAGTATTATTTTTCATTATTATATTTTATTCATTAATCTATTCTGGATAAAAGAGAAAAAGAAGAAAGAATTTGAGTGACACATGCATTCTGAAGCGATGTTCGTCACAACATAAGAGGCAATTTCACTTCGTTTCAAGTATTTTCAGTTATGTTGAACTTACGCCTTAATTATGCTTGATGAACGGCTAATATGGCCATAAGGCAATAATTACATCACGCATTTATGGGATTTTTCATTTTGTTATTATAGATGTATCGCGTAAAAAGATAATGACACGTATAAGATTCATATCTTAATTTTTTATTATGCTCTGAGTACTTTACAATATAATACAAAGGAAACATGTCATAAGTAAGACCGTCTTTACTACAATCTAACAAGGGTGAGAAGGAGTTACATGCACGTACACGTACGAGAAAAATATTTCATACGGATCGATGCGATAACATAGCGTGCGCAAGCGAGAACTCGCACTACTCGCTAAATAATATTATTTTTCTAAAGCAATATAAGTCACTTCATGACTTCTGGAATTGTTTGGAGACTATTATCTCCAAAGAGGTCGCTCGAACAAGAAGCGATACAGCGCCCAAATGCGAACTATCTAAATAAGAACACAACTTAAAAATATTCTTTACGAAATACTGTTTAATTCGATGTAGGTAAATTCTAAATTAAGTGCGACAAGCCAATAAGAACATTTACTGAACGGTCACTTCTTATCGGCTAAATCCGGGAAAACCACCCAACGAGACTCCATACAGCCACTGTATGGCAATTAATTCGCGAAAGAAGAGAATACTGTACGCTCAAGTTTGAACAACAAATTCTATCGCGATGAGGAATCAATCCCGCGAATTCTACAAATTCTACAAGACTACGATATAATTTTTAGCTACAACCATCTCGCGTTATAACTTTTTGCTAAATAGACTATACTACGAATTATCGAGGCAGATGCCAGTGTCTGCTGGATGAAGTAAATTCATGTATATATAACATAACGTACTAACATAATAATACAATATAATAGAATAATAATAATTAATAATTAATAATAATATAATAATATTTAGAGAATTTTTCATATGCATGTACGCGCAATTATTGATAAAAAAAGACAATGCTATTCTATTTATTCAAAGATAATCTTATAATATGTATTTCCGCTCATTTGATGATGTCTTAAGAACAAAAGATTGGACTGTCACAATTTACTTAATTAAGTTGTATGATTATCTTGACGAAACGTAACACAATACAAGCTGACATTCGCGTGCATCAAAGTAGAGTAAAATCACTGTTTATAATCCAGTTTATAATCAGATTCACTGTTTGTAATCAATGCGCGTACACGCATATAACAACGCAAATGAACGACTTTATACACGAAATGAAGGACGAATTACGCAATAAAAATTATGACAATGAGATGATATGCTCCACCGAACCTGGAAGCTGAAGTTTCGATGCAATTCAAAATATTTTTCTTATTTAAAACAAATAACTCTTTCGCGATGGTCTTATAACTTTCTTAAAATTACTGATACGCTTTCGAAATATATCATTAAAAGACTCATTAAGCTCTATTACAATTATTAGGAAGAACGTTTTTTTATAATATAATTATCTGCTATTCTTTGATAGATTATCGAAAATTATTGTCACCAAAGAGTTTAAAGATTATTTAATTGGCTAAGCGATTGATTTCGAGGTTCGATGGTTCGCAAAAGGAATAATCGAATCGTAAACGAAAACGCGGAAGTTTTCATCCTTACGCAAATTGTCTCGCTTTCATTTTGTTGACGGCATTTGTAAGGTGGGTCATCTCGGTATTGAGTTGGGAAATCATATCCTCCAGTCTATCAACACTGTCAAGGACTTCGACGCGTTGCGTATGCGGATTGAACCTGACCTCGAATGGCCGGCTCATAGTGGCCACCTGTAAGAGAAATCAAGGTTCATGACTAAGTTTATCCTACTAAAGTGAGAAATAACAGATAGCGGAAGTGAACAGATTACTATTCTTTATTTGCAACAAATGGAAATAAAAAATATTGAAGAAATTAAGAACATAAAAAAGAAGATTGATCTATTTCGATTCTAATATTTTTGAATTTATCGATAAGTGTACATATAGCAAGAATTGAAAACTTTGGCAAATTGTAGAAAAAAAAAATTTAATCTGAAAATATTTAAATTTAATTCGAAATTCATTTCACGGCTTAGGTAATATTGAACACAAAGCATTTATTCAAAACGATTTCCTCAAACACATTGGACATAATTAGCATTTTCATATTTACCCAACGACGGAATTTCTCCTTGGCATCCTCGAAACTCTCGGCCACGTAATATATCGGTTGGTATTCTTGATCTTGATATTTCTGGAGAGCGGTAATTGACGGATCGAAAGCTCGATGTTCGCATTTATCGCTCAATGCGTGCAAGAGTTCACCGTAAGCTGACAACAAGCCAGCACCATAAGCCTTGACTTCAGGACCTTCCTTACATAATCCGAATTCAACCGTGAACCAGTAAATAGTTGATAACTTCTCGATTTCTTCATCTGAAGCGCCAAGAGATGCTAATCCAATTTCTTGCGAAAATTGAGCGAAACTTGGATCGGCCAAAAGCGGCATATGACCCAAGAGTTCATGAATACAATCTCTGCAAATAAAATAAAACATACTTAAAGAATATTGCCACGTGCTTGTCTTAAAATTCGTACTCTTAAATTTATCCATTCTATTTTTCTTTATTCGTTTCATATTTAAATTTATTGCTTAGTTAATTTTAAGTGTGAAGATTTATAATTAAATCATTTGCAATTGCAATTTGCAATATTTAAATGCTTAATTTTACATCAGCAGTAGAATTTTAATTGCATTAAATAAATTGAACATACTAAAATTAATTAAAATCCATCAAATAAATGGTACGAGCTCAAGGAGCTATTCCATTCTTACAATTTGCAAAGCTATCTAGAGTTCTTGGAAATCATACTGTGACGTGGATCGCTACGCGGAGAAACGAGTTCGTAACTGTGGAACTGAGTTATCAACGCCATCGTGTCGTTAAAAGCCAATTAGAGTTCCATTACGAGCTTAGAGAGGCGCAGTAATTCTATTATCATCGTTCTCTGTGTACCACCGGGTGCAGGTTCCCGTCATAACGCAATATCGATTGCCTTGCAGTTTGACATGAAGGGGCAGCCGTGATGCGGAGCCAGAGTGACCTTTAGAATGCCCGATTTTTATGTAAAGATGCGTTACAGCTTTATGCCTTCGAAGCGATATTTTATCGAGTCTCATTATGAACTAGTCATATAAAGTATAATATGTTCTTTTTATCTGCATATTTTGTAGCTTATACCGAATCAAAAAAAAGTAAAAAGTTTAAAGTTTTAAAATTTTCTGGACAAGATCATTTGCAAATGGCATGTTCAATATATTTAAATTTAATCTTTATCCATTTTTTAGAATAATCTAAACGTAATAGAAACGTTGAAAAAAGTAACTACTCTATTCCAATAACTATTTTTTGGTCCCGATAAATTCGAACTAACGAAAGTAAAAAATGATAAAAATTAGAAGAACTTACGGTTCGGGAGTGTGATACGGGCTGTTGATGTGGCGGACATATTGGGTGCTCTGGAATATTCTGAAGGCAAGACTGGACAAGAAGTCCCGCGCTGTCAAGAGACCGGCGGCCGGTCGAAGAGTGAATCCCGTGCTCTTCTTCAAGAAATCGCTGACTTCCTGCAACTGTGGTATACGATGAGATTCGAAGATTCTCTCCTCTTGCAATTTCTTGAAGACTCTCTGGTATTCCACGCACGCGTGTTTCGGCACCAGATCCAACACAGTGTTGAAGACGCGCGACCAAGTTTCATTTTCCGTCTCGGTGTAAGGAATAGAAGGTATCGGATCGCCGTACTTGTAAGCGAAAGCGATTTCGGCAATGACCTTGCGACGAGCGCGATACTCTTTGTCGGCGAAGCCTGGATGATTCATGTCGAGATCCGGCTCATACTTAGTCATTAGGTGGTTGCAATTGTCGAGATCGGAGGCGTGACGGGGAAACCAGGGATCTTTGATGCTGACGGAATTGTCAGCGAGCAGGTTTACACCGTCTAAGGCCGAGCTTTGTCGTAGATTTCTAATTAACTGCAACAGGCTCTGTCTGCTCATGTCAATCTTGACCAAGACCTCGAATTGCAGACCCTCCTTCTTGGAGGGCCGTGACTCGACATGTGTGATCGTGCCCTTGAAATTTTCGATTGTCTTTAGGATCCTGCCTAGAGAGCCAATACCCTCTCGCAATCTCAATACCAGCGCCGCTTTCTGCACGTTGTACTCGCTATCCGGAGATTCGGCTATAGTTTTCGCGAGCACTATTTCCTCCTCGGTTAATCCGGCATCTGTGAAAAATTAAATATCGTCTAGTTTTGCTTGATGACATCAAAAATTTTTCTAAACGAACTCAAATTATCCGTCAAATAATTTTTGTTAAGATTTCTCTTAAGACATCTCTTAAAAAGATTTTCATCGCAAAGTGACATCGTTCTGTGGGACACTAGAATAACTTATTCGTGCACAATTAAAAAAAAATTAAAATATATAACTTTAATATATATCACAACTCGTCTTTACATCTTGATTATAAATAGTAATTCGCAATTCGTTATTTGTTGTCACACTCTTAATTTGACGACTCGACATTAACAACGATTCGCGAATTTTTTCGATAATAGAGTATCTTTGTTTTTCTATTCGTCTTGATCGAAAAATCAATACGTTATACAACTCCTTTGGTTAAATGACAAAGAAAAAGTATCACGCAGATACAATTGAATAGAAACATAAACCAATGTCGGCCTTCTCGATCAATTATTAAAGACACTCTCGATATATGTCGCGTAATCGAAATAATCCATTACCCATAGGAAATGCGCATCATTATTTATCTCACAGTTTTATATAGATTTGACATTTGAGAAAATACGAGCATTTTGATAATAGATAAAATAAGAAAAACGTAAATTTGACTTATAAAACTTTCTTAGGAGCGATTCTTTTTAGGCATGATTTCTTGCAAGTACCCTAAGTGACTTCCGCGGTAATAATCGGGCAATTCAAAGTCCATTTTCGCATAGCGCTTTGCCGTCACGTCGGAAACAGTACCATCTACTTGGTCGCGGGGGCGGCGGAAAAGTGGCAAAAGTAGCCGTCATTGTCGCGGACGCGGACGTGCCGGTGAGATGGAAGGCAACGCGAAAAGGAATAACCGTGTTACACACACACACAGCGGCCACGCAGGGTCGCTTGTGAAATCTCGAGAAAGGCTCTGCTCCGGTAATACGATTCTAAATGCACAAAGCGGCTTCGGAGGGCGAAGACGGGTTGGAAAAAGACGGAAATAGCTCGGAGATGTAATTCACTCCAAGTGTCGGCCGAGCACTCGCCCTAGTCGACTGTCGACAATGGCGATCGTTTCACCCTCCATTTATCGTTGCCTTCCTTTCCATCGTATACCACGTCACGTGCGTACCCTCTTTTCACGCAATCACCCACTTCCTGTTTTACTTCTATTACGCAATGTGACATTTTGCTAGAACTGGACATAATTATGATCAAAGGAATAGAAGATATACGTACCATCATCATCATCATCATCCGGTTTTCCATCACTGTCTGATGAAGCCTCCGCTTTCGCTTCTGAAAGTTACAAGTTTCGTGCTCATGCCATATATATGCAACATTTATGAATAAACATTCTTGAATACTTGGCGGAAGATGCATTTGATCAATCAATTTCACATTATAGCAAACATTATAAATATTATGCACGGGGATTATTACTACATTGAATAAAATTATTATAAAATAATTAATGATGACACTCAATGCAATTATTATGTCCTATGCATATCACACCTCCAATTATTCAAAGAACATTATAAATTTAACAACATCTAGATACAAACCTTCCTCCTGCACTGCACAAACTAATGATTCCACCTGTTCATCATCACTTGATGAAATATCGATGTAATTTTCTTCTTGTCCTTTATTCTTAGTACAAGTAATTGTCTGATCCGCGTTCGTATCTATTCGATAACAAAGAAACACGTCATGCATTAACGTATGCATGCATATACATATATTGTTTCTCTCTGCGCTTGTACGGCATTAGCAAAGAGATATGTTTTATATTTAAAATCTTTTTAATAGTAAACATGTACATTTCTCTAATAAAGGTACGTTCAATATCATAATCTTTTATACAATAAATCATGCGTATATATAGCAAATACAAAAATATTTGTATTAATAAAACATATCTATACATGCGGTAATGGAGATTATATATATGACAGTTAAAAAGAATTAATCATGCCAGACATTCGCAAGACTTACCATTCGCTCGTTGTCGAGCTTCCTCGAGTACACTTTGCTTCGTCTGTTTGACGACAAGCGTTTCAAAACGGGCATCGTCTACGAGAGAACGTCGTCGCGCTGGATATCCGTTCTGAAAATATAAATTAAAAATTCGATTTATATAAAATATCATGATACATTAAATTAAACATATGTAGAAAATTATGATAAATTAAATTAATAAGAATATTACTAAAAATATCTATATCATTTCCGTATAATTAAATTCTGAGTGCTGATGTACTGTTCTATTGTATTTTATCGCTGATGCACAAGCAATTATAGATAGAACTTTAAAGGGCGGATGTCCTTTCGTCTTGAGTCAGATTCCATTTTGTGTGCTCATGGCCTTTGACATGAGACGAAACGGAAATCTAACTCGTCAATTCGACCAAGTGTCTAAATGTCACTTAAATCATAACGAACAAAAGGCATGGAAATGAATTTTCGCGACTTCCGTCCTGCTGTCGTTGAAGTATAGGAAATGAATTAATTCTATCAGAGATGTAGAAAGAGGTTTGAGTATCGCTCTCGTTCTTAAAAGAAGATAAATTTTATTTTTCTTACTATCGTTCTCTTAGTTAATATACTTTTGCTTATTTTTTGCAATTTGATGAAAAATTTTTATCTAGAGATATTTATTTAGCTACATGAATTTTTCAGCAAAAATTTATTTAGAATTTTATTTGTGAACAAAAAAATTAAATCTGAGTAAATCTTAAGAGACAAAGACTTAAAATAGATGCTTTTACTTGGCGAAAACAGACAAGCATGCATTACCAATCATTCAAATTCCTGACTGTCGCCGCGTTGGAGACCCAGTTGCATTTTCCAGCAAAGTCATCGGTTGGCATAGTTTAGAGAAAGCGTTTAGCAATCTCCCTTAACAACGCGCGTCGTTAAGTGGGCCAAGTACTTTACCGATGGAATAGTTGTCGAGAAATTGCGACACAACGTGATAACACATCGAAGAAACAGCAAATGCATGATAAATCTCATCCCAATGGATCGATAAAGTCAAATTAATTAATACCTATCGTAAAACTGTCCGGAGTTGTCGACTATCCATGTGAATTGCGACTATCGTATGGGAAAGTGACGAATATATGCAAATATTTGTCGACAGCTGATGTACAAGATGGTAATTGTCTTCAAGGGAAAAAGAATGAAACAGCGCGACGATAACTCGGCAATAAACGATGCGAATGTTCAATCGAGCAAACAGCAGGTACTGTAGGAATGTTGTTTCCGACCTTGTAGAATAGCACGAATGTATGGCCGAAGATGCAAAAGAAACGACCTCGAGTTAGCAAGTCGAGTAATTACCCACTATATAGCGGAGGAGTCGTCCGTAGATAAACAGGATCTCTCTTTACACCTTCTTTCATTAATTTTGCTCCGGATATTCTATTTTTCTATTTTTTTAATATTTAATTTTTTTTAATATTCTTGAAAAACTATATAATATAGTACAATACAAGTGACATGTCTTAATTGAAGCATTAAAAAATTATGCTTTTCTTTGACTATGTTGCAAGAGGTACTAAAATAATTACTGCAAATAATAGTAGTAGTATAATTAAATCGAGATATAGATGTATGTATAATCGAGATATAGATGTTCGTGTGAGTTATAATTTTATAATCATTCATAGTTTCGATTTACCTTATTATCTATTATATAAAAAAGCGTTTCTAACGCTTCTGTAACATAGCGAATGTCAAATGATTACGATGCTAATACGATGTAATACTTTGTGGATAATATATAACCAGGATTGATCATTAAAATCGCATAACTTAGCTCGCTATTTGCCTAATTATTCGAATGGATTTTGCTATCTCGATTGATTTTTATCTCGATTGATATCTAACAATCCTAAAAATCATATTTTATAATTATTTTATAATTATTCGTCATTTATGATTCTGTATCAGCGATAATAAAAATGTAGACATTAGTAATAAACTAAGAAGTTATCAAGGAATCTGACATAAATTATCTATTGCGTGATATAGGTAGTATCTTTAATCTATTACTATTATTCAATGATTAATTCAGTTTTAAAATATATCGAAAGAATAAGATTTTTAAATACTTGTTTTTAAATTACTAAAACTTACGTTTAATATTTTTAGAAGTTTTTACGCGAAAGAAAAGAACAAAAAATAATTCCGCAGCAAGTTCCTCGATCTGAACATAGGCATAATTTGAACACGTGCATAAGGGCGATTAAGAACGAGCGAAAAAGCGCATACCTCGGTGGAACTCCAGCGGGCAAATAATTTGTCTTTGAGTATTAATTTGAAACTCATAAAACTGCATAAAATCATATAGTTGAATGCGCGGCCGAGATACATAATGCGCCATACACATCGAAATCTCGCATTAATATAATCCTTCTCACCCTGGAAGGAGAGACAGATTGCTGTGGTCCAGGTAAAATAACCGGCGTTTAAGCAAAATGATTAGCATAGCAAATACGTATAGACACTAATACGTATATAAACGAACACATGCAGCATGCGCACGCGAGTTGCATGCGCCGAAGGATAGTTGCGAATGCAACGAGTGCATGTGCAGTGAGTCTCCAAAGGCGAATAACGGGTGCAGCGTTCAGGGCCTTTTTCGCGTATCTTTTTCTTTCTTTCTTAACCGCTCTATACAATCACTTCATATTTATAATATATTCATAATTATCATGTACGAGGCCGGAGATTGATTTTGCAACTGCGACGACATAATCCTGCTTAATATGATCGATCAACAGTAGCAACAGCCTTGATACTAAGAGGGTGCTATCAGATCTTATTCCGAACTTGCAAATAAGCTCGCGGTAATTTTGTCATGAATTCGCTGAACGCTCTAATGTTCTATAAGGAGTTTTAGCAAGTGGTCGCGTGAACGGATGCTTCTAGAGCAAGGTGATTGGTTTGAGAAAAACAACCTGTAGTCGTGTGCGTAATAATCATTAGAAGCCATATTAGAATCCAGAACAAAACTATCTAGATTTCGTAAAAAAAAATCGATAATATATTTGCTATAAACTTTAGCTTTAACCATAGCTTTAACTATAATAATATCTAAAAATAATTTTGTTGGCTCATCAAAATAATTATGTAGAACGTTTAAACTGGTTGCTAAAATGTCATAACTTTTTGCAATATTATTCAACATATTTGAAATTCCTATGTAAGTATTTTGATGGTCCAAAATTGTTTTCAGATCTGTAGCTACTTAAATTTTTAGATACTTCGGTAAATCTATGTATGATATACCGGTTTTAACATGACTGAAAAGGTAATAAAAAATTTTGAACATGTACAAATTGATTAATTAAGATTCAATTTAGATGAGAATGTGAATCTTTATTTGATTTAGATTATTTAAATTATTCGAATACCCAGAATAACAGAAACGTGAAATAATATTCACATTGGTGACGCGATCGCGATAGGAAATTTACTCAAGGTCGGTTTACTTTTCACCCCGTGTCGCCGTTCCTCATACGATAACTATCGATCGCGTATAACCGATTCTAGATTCGATCTGGTCCAGTATCTAGATCCGGAGTGTGCGCACGCACGAGTTCCGTTTGAATGAGTCAGACTCGTCATGATCGTCAAATGAATAAAAATCGAAGTTAATAATCGCGCGTAATTTGAAGCGAACAACTGCAATTATATCTGTCTATGTAATCGAGAATATTAAATGTGCCTATAGTTACATGCGTTTACTTCCGAGATTTATCATTTAAAGTTAGTAGAAAGTTAACTAGAAAGACACTACTCGCCGGAATTGAAATCGCCAGATACTTTGGCAGATGTTTTCTATGAAATAACCTATATAATTGAAAAGAATTTAGATTATATAAACATTTTTTTAATTTTTAAAAATATATAATATTTATAAAATATGTATCTATATGTATATAGAACTATCAATTTAATTTAATTTTTCATCTGCAATTTTAATGTAGTTTTTAATTTCACTGATTAGTAAGACATCACTATCAACGTACACATTAATGATTTCGGTCCATAGAATTTGCGGAGAAAGCGTAAGATTGTCGTCACATCGAAGTAACGTGGTCTCGTATTTGTTTACAGACTGAAGCAAATAATAAATCATACAATGCTTAGAGGAAGTTCGGATATCTTGAAAAGAAAGCACCCAGATTCAAACTCATCTAGATATTAATCTTAAAAAATATTATGTCATTAGAGAATATCAATTTCTCATTTATCGGTAACGATATCCAATGTACATAACATCATGTTAAATTATGCATGAATGGGGAAGGTAAATTCAGGGAAAATTCTGCGAATCTACGAATCTCTTCGATTAGCATTCGAACTCACAAACAAACATTAGCGATTTGTAAACTGTTTGCACTAGTAATACTTTTGCATCAATAAATCTCGATTGTTTGAGAAAGTCACGTAGAAGCTCAAAGTCGATTACGATGTATGTTTAACACGATTATTAAAGAGATAAATATGATATATCGCGTGAGAAATGAGATATAGATCTTGCCGATTATTTTTGCACTGTTGCAAAATTTCGCATTGTCATTATAAATACACGTACGGAGAAAAAAAAGAGCGAATAACCTCGTAAAAGTATTGATTATGAATTGTCATATGACTTATTGGACGTGAATAGATAGAAACAGAATCGGCCTTGCCATCGTAATCCATGATGCGTTATACACGCGACGGAAAAACGCAGCAACCTCGAAAAAGTATCGATTAAAATCTATTAGTGTGCGATCTTAAGGAAAAAATACAGTTACGTGATGAACGATGAGTTCTCGCGAGCTATAATTTGCAAAGCAGACGGATATATCTATAGTATATATTAAAAAATTGTTACACGTCGATTTCAGCTAATATTACATACTCGAGAATGACTACAGTCGATAATTGTAAGTTTCAGCAAACGATAAAACCGTTTTACAGTTATTTATTCCTATCTTGTTATTATACTTATCGCCATAGAATATATGCAATACAATTTTATTCGTCAAATAGAAATAGAAGTGCAAACATTTACGACAGAAAGGGGGGATAGTGCAAAAATGATTTTGCATAATATTTGGCAAAAAGGAAAGATGCTGAAAGATTTGTCTTTCGTCATGAGAATCGCCGGTTTCTCTCAACCGCTTCCTATAATCGAACAGCTGATGACTCGTGACCGACTACTTCCTCATAATCTTGTTGGACTTACGCTTCTTCAGCAGATTAAATTTTTCGTGCTCGCTGTAAGTGCCATAGGTCTTGTTGCATCAGTTGTTTGACTCGAATCGATGAGTCTTGATCTTATGCTAATTTATGACTTCGAGAGAAAGAAAACTCTCTATTATGAACTCTCTATTATGAACAGATTTGCAATGGCCGAATAACATTAAGATTTTTTGTCAATTATTCTGCAATGCAATTGAAATGTTTGTGTACTATTTATATGTTTTACATAAATTTATTTAAGATATTTTTTTTATTATTCTAACAAATGGCTAGATTTGGCGAATAATTTAAAAATATCAAAAGTTTGTTCCAGACCGGTTTTGAATTATTGAAGTAGAATACGTGAAAATATTTAGAATCAAACCCAAAATGTGACCTCGACAATTAAATATTCATTAATATGACATTGTGACAAGGTCAATAACTTGCGTAAACAGCGCATTTACTTTCTCTGCGAAGACTCTTCTCCATTTCGCCGAGCCTACGTGAAAATTTCACTTGCGTTCGTCTCCGGTTATTAAGATTGAGAAAGAGCGGAACCGACACACATGCATCTTTAAGCGATTTTCTGACGCAATTTTTTTACACATTTCGAAATGTGCCGTTAGCTAGAAAAATCTCGAGAACTACAAAAGCAAACATGAAACACTCACTACGTATAGAAATTATACAATTAAGCCAGAGTATGGCGTAGTAGCCATGAGACACTCATGTCTTTGTAATGAATGCAAAGTGCACGTAATTTCATATAATTCGATAAATAATATACTGTTGCATGTACAACAAGATCAAATTCTGCAATTACGTTTGTCGAAATATATGAATCCACGTTAAGAAACTAGGATGACATTTTCAGCGACATTCGTACATATAATATTCGGTGATTTAAATGAACGACTGAATTCGCGCGCTTACTAAGATCTTTATGATCGAACCTGTTGCTTTTAACATGAATAGAATAATAGAAGTACTTTGACAGTAGCAAATGTAAAAATTTTTTACAAATAGAGTGACAGATTTATCAAACGATTTTTTTATTAAGAAACATAAATATATACAAAGAACAGAATACAGAAACAAAGTAGTATTTTATATAAAAACATTTTTTATATAAAAAAATATTTAATATTTTGTTATTTTGTACTCATCTAAAAATTATATTTATTTAAAAGTTTATTTTTTGTATAACTGACACTTTCAAAATTCTCTCAATTTTTGCAATACTTTTTAACAATTTTTGAATTACTTTTATCATTATTTTAAAATAAGACTTACCTCAATACTGTAAGACTTCTTGATGGCGAACATTTCACGGTTCTTCTGAGCGGCTGCGACTGCCATCATATCTTCTTTATCACTCCTTTTTCTAGCGATTAATTTAGGTACTTTTTTCTTTGTTCGATGATCAATCGACTTGGGTGTCTTTCAATCGTCAGTCCTCGGCCTGATAGTGCTCACTGGACAATGCAGTAGATGATGTGCGTGAGCTCTTCACTGCCGCTTGTGAGAAATTACACGAATGGATTCCTCGTTGAGCGCGCGTTTTTCGACTTTAATATCCCGATGTGTTTCGGCTACGTCCTCTTCAGCCTCGATCCGTCCGATCTGCTACGGTTCGACTACGATAAACGACGAGGACGTCGGCGACGACAACGAGCCTCTACTACTTAAGTCCACTTTGGACGGAGCGTACGAGCGAATGCGTCTACGGGGCGGATTGCCGCCGCATATAAACGTTGCCTCCCTTCACCGCCTGCTAATGTCGGGGTCAGGGGTGCCCCCACCCTATCGTCGTTTCGGGTGGTCCACCAGCAGCAGCAGCAGCTACCACCACCGCCGTCGCTGCCGTCACAGCGCCGCTAGCACTGTCATTGACGAAGACCACGACGATCATGAGGGGATTCCTTGCTAGTTGCTGATACTTTCGTATCTCGTATTGGATATCCTATAGGGCACTATTGCACACCTTTCATTCACGATAACGGAATGTCCCATTACGAAGGCGATGATAAGAAGTTATCAAATAGGGGTTCTGAACGTAGTTACAAATAATTGATCTTTCTTCACGTACTGTTGAATTTGCATGTTCAGTATAATGCTTCACAGAGAATAACGCATTGTCTGAGAATTTCTTGAACAAGAATATATTGAATACAAATATACAAATATATTATCTCGATCGATTAAGATTAATTACATTTTAAATTAATAAGAATAATTGCTAAAATAATTTCAAGAAAGTTTAAGTAATAATTCTTGGTTCTTCGTTGCTAAAAAAAACGTCATTATGAAAAATGTGTCTTTCAAAATCGATATGGAAACAAACTTTGTGCAGAACAAGTGGAATGAATGATCAAGTTACCAATTTCTGAATTCGGCGTATTTATAACTTGTGCTTAAAATAGGATATTTATCTCGGTGAATTGACTTTTCCGAAAAGGAGATATTTAAAAATGTAATGATATAAATTATTATATAATTATTAT